CCTTCAGGTCGATGTTGGCCTCGATCATCTCAAGAAACTTGGCGGGCAGGATCGGCGGGACCTGGCCTTCCAGAATTAGAAACTCGATGAACCCGCATCCTGCCAAAGAACATGGGACCCAGGCCCTGCCCACCGTCTTGGCCAATCCGCCGATGCCCGAGGCCTTGCGACCGTCGAGCGGGGTCCAGTCGACAAACACGAAGTAGCCCCGCTTGCGAAAAGCCTCAACTAGATTCTTCACGTCCGGGGTTCCGATGAGGGCCTGGCCTGCTGCCGTGTCCACCAATGCGTGATCCCTCATACTCTTGAGCGAAACCTCCGGTGTCTCCAACTGGCCAATCAGGCCTACCCACTGTTCGATGCTGAAGGTCGCCCACGTCGATGACTCGTCGCAGTGGCTCTTGTCGAGGTCGGCCTCCGACTCGAGCTCCGTCGTCACAACATCGGTCAAGAACGAGGGGTCTCCGTCGGTATTGGAGTAGCAGAAGAAGCCAGGAGAGGACCCTTTCGTCGCGGCCGAGGACGAGGCTCCCTTCTTCTCGCTATTGATCCGGTCCAGCTTCGATCTGTAGGGCTTCCTGCAGTCCTCTGCCCAGTGTCCGCGCTCTCCACAGTTGGCACATCTCGTCTTCTTTTTCAGGTCGGCTGAGGTGATGCGGCGGTATCCGGGCTTGGACGCGCGCCTACGGTCAAAGAATTCACGATCAACCTTGCGAGTAGCCTTCATCTTGCGAGCCTCGGTCCAGGTCCTGCGTTTTTCCTTCCCAATCTTTTCCTCGATGATGGCGGCCAGCACGGGCATCAGGTCGTCCTCCGCCAAATCCTGCTCCTCGAGGGCCGTGAGGAACGTCAGAGCGTCATCCTCGAGGAGCTCGAACGAGTCGTCCACCGTCTCGTAGAACGACACCGCCTCCGGATCATCGCACCACGGGGCCGGAGGTGACGGAACCTCGAGCTCCTCCAGGGCCTGCTCCACATAAGCCTTCGTCGCCGTAGGGGTCGATCCTGGGAGCACGCTGCGCTCGCGCACGTCCAGCAGCAAAAGAGCCTGTCTAACAGCCTGGAACGACTTGTCGCCGCCCGCCAACGTCCTCAAGTTGATTTTGTTTTGTTGACTGAGATTGGCGCCCTCCTCCAGATATCGTGCGAGAACTCCGTCGGGAAGCTTCAGTCCGAAGGTCTCCGCCGTCGAGACCTGGGCGTCCCTCCTGAGTACGTAGTCCGTCAAGCTCTCGCCCCGGCGAATGCTGTAGTCGAAGAGCGCCTCATTCTGTGCCTCCCTCTCCTTGTCGCCTGGGCGCTCCCCGTTGAGTATCGCCAAGTGGTCCAGTAACTTCTCCACGCCGTCGCGTACGTCTAAGGTCGATCTCACCAGCTTGAACTTGCTTTGGATCTCGACGGGAAGAGTCTCCAGAACTTTAGCTGCCTGAACCTCCGCGGCATACCCAGTCCTCTTCGCCCATGCACGTAGATTGCCCTTGTAGAGGTCGAGATGCTCATAGTTGAGCCAGGTCGGCGGAGCGCCGAAGTCACGGTTCGGGCGATCCCAGGAGCCACTCCACCAGCCACCCCACTGGCTCGAGTCGCTCTGCCCGTCCTGCTCCGTCGCCACCGCCGCCGCGCCCGTGGACGCCGTGCCCGCCGCGGCCGTGTCCGCCGCCGCTGGTGGGGCCGGCACCCACTGCCATGAACCTGCGGTCGAACTCCATCCTGACCACGCGCTTCCCCACGTCTGGCGCCACCAAGGGTCTTGGGCGCCGACTGAAGTCGCGGCCCCGGCTGCAGGGCGCGTGGTCTCTGGAAGTGATCCGGCCCAGGGATCCGTCGGGGTCGTCTGTGTCTGACCATGCTGTCGGCCAGCGCCCGCATCATCCTCCCCCTCTTGCCCCTCACCAGCAGCTCCGCTTACCATTGTCCCAAGCTGAGAGCACGGCAGGAGGTGTGGAAAAGAGGGCGAAGGGGGGGGATATATTTTGCTAGGCACCAGCAGTGCATCCTAAGCCCAAAAGGGCTACGGAAAGAGTCCGAGCCCTAACCCACGACTAAACCCGAAGAGCGGGGGAGGGGAGGTCGAGAGAGAGAGGGACCGGGGCCCTCGAGGGCCCGAGGGCCACCGGGACCCCACGGACCTCCGGGACCCGGACCCCGGGGCCCGAGGAGGACAAGGCTTCCTCGGTTCCTCGGGCCACCCTGCCTCCAACCGCGGTCTCCCCGAACGACCGGGTCACGATTTGGAATGCTTCGGAGGGCGTCTCGGGGCCATCTTGGGCCCCCATGGGGCTCTCTTAGGGCCATCTTGGAACCCTGTTGTGCCGTCTTGGGGCTCTCTTGGACTGCCTGGAAGCCCTCTCGGATGGTTGTGGAGCAATTTTCGAGCGGAGGCGGCTTCGGACGCTCAGAAGACCGCCGTCTTGAAGCGTCGGGAAGCCGAAAAGAGGAGAACCCCAAAATTCACAACAACAAAAAAAACATTAAAAATCAATGAATTCTGCCTCTTGGG